TTAGCCAGGACGCGGGATTGGACAATTCAATAATAAGGAAACCCGGAAATACCAAAAAATTATCTTGGGCAGAACGATGACAAGGTCTAGAAGAATCATAACTATTTATTCCACAATTAAGCCCGTTCATAATAGTATACGGACACCGGTTACAGCTCGCTAGTCCGACGGCCCAATAGTCCGAAAGCCCAATAGTCCGAAAACCCAATAGTCCGAAAACCCACTAGTCCGAAAACCCACAGGGGATGGGGTACCGATCTATACCTAATGTTTAATTAATTAATTAATTAATTTTTAATTTTAATTTTAATTTTAATTTGTAGCTCTGTAGCGGCGCTCTGTAACGGCGCTCCCACTAAAGCTAGCCCCTCCTTCTGTAGCGACATCAAAGGTGCCCCTTCGTTCCCGCTACTGAAGGCACTCCCGCTACAGGAGGAATACTGCAGCAGGAGCGAAGGGGCTTCTCTGGTAGAGCTATGCGCCATGCTGCGGGCGCATTTTTATTTGCCGCATAACATATGTACAAGAGCAACCAATATACGCGGAAGGCCGCTGACTGACGACAAGTGTTGTATTGTATAGGGCTGCGTGCTAAATCGAGAGAGGCGCTTCTAGATCGCGAGAGATCGACGAGGCGTGCGGCCTATTACGCTCCTCGATATTATTGTAGTAACACGAGACTCCGTGACTCGTAAATATTCGTAGCCCACCGCGCACCCTAACCACCTAAACCCAGCTGGTTTAGGTGACCACCAGGAAGAAACCACCAGGAAGAAACCACTATAATGAAACCACCAGGAAGAGACCACCAGGAAGAAACTGGTTGGATTGAGGTGACGTCCGGGCTGTTTTAGGAAGCGTATAAATAGACACGGACATACAGAGGAGACACCATTATAGATTAGTTATTACATGGACAGTTACTATAGGTAAGATGTAGAGAACGGAAGACGAGACGCGGGACCTAGGCATGGGTACCTTGGTTGCCGTAGTATGTATATATTTGTGTGTTAGAAGGAGCAGTAATAAAGACAGAGTTCAATAACTAATCTGCGACTACGGCTCTATCTGACGAGACTTTACGCTGCTATTCTATACCTTGTTATCTACAAAACATCTCTACCATTTGCTAACTCTACGCTGCCACTCTACCTTGTTATCTACGAAACATCTCTACCATTTGCTAACTTTACGCTGCTACGATTCCGGAGCTGAGGTTATAACCTAAATAGAAATACAACACAAGTACAAGCCAAATTACATTATAGTAACACTGCGAGAACAAATGTTCAGTGTTCAAACGTATGGAACAGAACACATGTGTTCTAAATATAAAACAAAGAACATGAAAAGAAAGATTAACGTACATGGCAATGCAGGGAATTGTCATTTACAATACATAAATATAGAAAATAGATAGATAGATAGATTGTGTGTGTCTACATTGCAAACACTACATTGCATTGTGTGTGTCTATATACGTCGTACAACAGCAATATTCGGTGCCAGCAATGGTGCATGCTGCTTATACGATCTAATTTATACTTAGCGATGTCATCAGGTTTGGAAATACTTTTACATATTGTTTGCGCAGCCCTTGAATATGAAATATACTTTTTCATGGTACTTGGCCAACACTCGAATTGAGTGCATAGAAGGGGTTTATTATTAGTTATTTTGATATATTGAATATATTGCACGTAAATGTTATCGCAATGCAAGCGCATGTGATCAATAGCGCGATAGTGACATATGGAATTTCATAGCATTTATACATTTGCAGAATTCTTATAGTAAGATATTTCGTTTGATTAAATATTCAATCGATTTATTAAAGCTTTTCGCGCGAAATTAATCATGCCTCATCATGTACTCTGCCGTTAGCGCCACCGTGTGATGATTATTTGAACTGATGATTACAAAAATGATTACCAATTCTGCGCAGGTATCGTGCGGCTCATTTCATCGTCCGGACGCGCCTTGCGCAATCTCTTGACATTAAAAATGTATTTGAGGGACATATCAGATCTTATTCGTCTTACGTAACTACGACTATGTAATAAATGTGGGTTTAGTTCAATAATAATTTTGAATTTGGAAGGCATTTGGTAATACTATTATAGTGGTTTCATTACAGTATAATTATTGTCTACGTATATGAGGTTAATTCGTAATGACCATACCTGCTGAAACCGCAGTAGAGAATCCTGCGAAACGCTCGTTGAAACTCACGCGACGAGCAAGCGTAGATGACTGGGTTGAGGCAGCTGTTGCAATATCCGAGCCAGAAAAATATTTTGAATATAAGTTCCGGTATTTTGCATTTCTCCCCACAAACTGCGCCTGAAAAATGAGTAATAATCATATGTTATTGCGTTGAAGTATCGGAGCGCATACATAACGAATTACAAGTCAAACTCTAGTGAACTAGCAATTAAGCTCAGGAAGAATAATACGTCAAAAAACGTCCCGCAAGCTGAGGTGCGCTTGGAAATAACAGTTGCATTGTATATAACACATGGTCAACTTCAAGCGGCGGCAATTGTTCAAAGATGATTATTTTCACGATCATTAATAGGCATAGATTTATACAGGATAAGCAATCTGTCTCTTTCAGTATAACTCATATAGCTTGACATATGAGACAGGTTTGTGTCTAGGAGAAGATATCTGCCAAGATAGAGTAGAAAAGACCGACGCCACCGACACTTCCTCGTATTGGTAGATAAAGAGTAACAACAAAAGACGAATCTATATATATCGCCAAGACGTTTTTAAATTACGATTTTTATTTATTTTAATTCAAAAATAAAAACGCAGTGTGGATATAGTACCCCTATCTGCACGTGCGCGCTACACAATCTCATGCGTCTGACTCGATGATCAGATGTCCATACACTGACGTTTCATAAAATACATGATATACGTTTTGTGATAACCACGGTATTGACTGCCATGCATTCAATTCATATTTCTTTTCAATATTCGATACACATGATCATTTATGTGTAAATCTTCACTGTTTGTCTATTCCCTCACTGTTTACTTGTTCGTGTTGTGGCGCTTTTTTTGAGTAGAGTAGAAGGACGAGTCTAAATGTAATGTGGACGTAGGAGCTGCATCATCGAGAGAGCATCAAACTGGATATGCATCATCCACAGTGCATAAAAACGATAATTTTCTACATGATGACGTATAGGATGCGGCGTTAAAAAGCAGAGCTTTTAAAACGGCGTATTTCGACGCACCGCATGCATGCATGCG